CTGTGACTATCGTAGGGGAAGGGAACGTGAGTCCCAGGTGGCTGGTCACACCCCGGGGGAGCCGGCCGCCACGCTGGAGGTGACTGCTGTAGGCTTCCTGACACTTGGCAGGATAGCCACAGAACACAGGCTGTCCCCCTCAGGCTTGCTCTCGCTACGTGACTGATGGATTCTGCTCCCACTGACCACTTTAGGAGAAGGCTTGTGTGTGGCTGGATCTCAGAGAGGATTCATCGAAACAGTGGTCTCCTTCCTCCGACATTCCAGCTTACACTCACCAGTTCGCCTCTTGGGACCCCGCGTGGGTTGTGGCCACAGCTGGGTGACTCAGTTGGTACTGAGCCTGAGGCTGTGAGTCAGGAAAAGCCTGAGCTTGAATCTTGCCCTGACATTTGCTAGCTGAGTGACCACGGGCAAGCCACGTCCCCTCCTGGAACCTCAGTGTCCTCACCTATAAAATGGGTACACTCCGAGTGGTGTGGCACGTCCTTTGCCTGCCTGTTGTGAGGGTCAAATGAGGTGGCAGGCTGTGTTCCATTCCTCCATGACATCCATCCCACTTCTGCCCCTTGAGGATCTAAGGCAGGGAGGGACCTCTCTTCACCAGCATTGGTAGCCAGCTGTCTGTGCTTCAGATTGCTTGAGGTTCGGAGAGGTTCAATGACTTACCCAGGGCCATACAGCTCAAATGAGTCATAGGTGGGATTGTGAACCAGGTCTTTCTGTCTCCTGGTCAAGTGCTTGGCATGCACTGTACGGACTGTCTCTGGATGCTTGTGTGCTATAACCCTTACGGCTCTCTATATACACGGGGCCTCTTCCTGTTATAAATAAAAGGAAGGACTCCTCAGACTGCCACGTTCGGCTGAGCTCAGCCAGCCCCGCCTTCCCCCGAGGGCTCTCTTTGTGTGAGTGGGCTGGGCCACCATTGTGCCTGAGTGTGCATGAAGGGTTGGGTCAGGTGGGTGCCCGAGAGCCCAGGACCCAGAAAAGATGTCCAAACCACAACTGTGGCTGGCACGCGGGTGCAGGCTGCTTGGCCTTCCTGAAGATGCTCTCCCACATGTCTCTGGGCTTTTTGTTTCCCTCCCATCTTCATTCATCCTCCCTAGCCCAGATCCAAGTCCTCCCCACCGCCCCGCAGCCCCTCAGTCGGGGGACCTTGGACTCAGCTCAGCTCCTGGAGAGCTAAGAAAACAACCTAGAAGCCCTGGCCAAGTACAGTCAGCTCCTGGAATCACTCTGGGCAGTAAAGGATGGCCAGGGAATGGAGTGTCCATCCCAGATGCCCAGGGCATATGTGTGCACGCCATGCTTCATGCTCCCACTCTGAGTCATGGGGTTCAAAGAAGAGCTAGCGGTCTGGATTGAAGATCAGAGCCAAATCCAGCCAAGTTCAGCGTTGTCCCCATTAGGACCCTGAGCCCCAAGCCCTGTGGGGACTGCCTAGGCAGCAGCTCCAGCCACCAAGAAAAGGAAACATGCCAGAGCTACTCTCTAATTTAAAACGTAGCCCCAGGTCAGGAAACCTGAAAAGTCAATCTTTGGAGAGATGCCACCTGTCCTGGAGGAAGCCTGGGGCTCTTCACGGTTCTTAGCCAAGTGGAACGGAGGGTGTGCTAAGAAGGGCCCATGAACCAGCATGGGCTGAAGGCTTGCTCTGTGCCAGGCTGGTCCGTGCGAAGCTGGTCCCCGACCCCCCTCTCCTTGGCTCCACCCCCCACGTGGTCATCCTTCTGTCCACACCTGCGTCCAGTCTCCAAGGGGATCTGACAAGGGTGGGGGGCTGGGGGGCTAGGGGCCAGGATAAGTCACGGTTGCTGAGTGATGTGTGTATGAAGTGCTTCTGTGCTGGGCACTGAGGTTCTCCTCAGATTTCCTTTATGCCATTTTGAAAATTCCAGTTGTTTCTGCCCCTAACACACACTGATTCCTCCTTTGTAAGACGGAAAATCAGTTCAGCAAAACCGACTGCGAAAACAGATGAAAACAGTGTCCTCATCTAACAGTGTAGGCACCATTCCACCTCCATAGGTCCCCACCTCCTTCCTGAGAGAGGGAAGAATGTTTGGTCCCAGGATGTCTGGGGGCCAGTGTCGATGAGCACATTTTACCTGAACCCTCTTTGTTAGGGTGGTTTCTGTTCTCATGATTTCTGTCACTGTCTATATTGTTCTCCTGGTGCTGCTTTCTCTGTATAAATCGATTGGGGTTTTTTTGTGTGTGTTTTTCTGCTCTTCATATTCAGAATTTCTAACAGGATGATAAAATTCATTATAATCTGGTGGCATTCACTTTATTTCCCAGGTAAAGACCATCCACTTTATTTGAGGTTTCAAGGTGCCACCAAAAGTCCTCCTTCAGATCCAGCCACACATGTGGGACCTTTCTTTTGTCTGTGACCTCCTTGGGGAACATGCCCCGTCCACTGGGGAGCAAGACAGGGAGACATCAGTCCAATCGTTTCCCAGAATGACCGGATAAGCCCCAGCTCTCCCAACAGAGCCAGGCCTGGCTTCACAAACCCTCCAGCAGCCACAATTTCCTTCTTTGACCATTAAAATTCCTTCTAAATAGCATCTCAGGCTGTGAGCTTAACTTCTTTGCAGCAGGCCTAGTTTTCAAACAGTAACATTCATATGCACATA